ATATATATTCAAAACCAAGTACTGACAGATGGTATCCTGTATCTGGTCTCAAGGGTGAGCACATTTACCACTGTTTAAGGAGTTTAGTACAGACTTACTGGAGCAGATTTTTTTGTTCATGTCTTCTAAACATGTATTTCTATAATCCTATGTTCTAATAGTTATAATTTCTTTATTTCTTTAGGTTTTCTGGCATATTTAGCACTTCCAGTGGGATTGGTGTTGTCAGAGCAGGAGCTGTACCACAGCCAGACATCCCAGGACTCTGTCTCCATGGCAGCCAACCCCAGCATCCTCCTTTATTCTCCCAAACCTCCCTCATCAAAAGTGCATCAAGAAGAATCCAGCAGTGGGGAATGGCCACCCAAGGCCTCACAACCCTCAGACATAAATTTTCCCGATGCTGCTCTCCTTCACACAAAACCCATTCGTGACACAGTCACTGTCACCCCACACACTGATAGCCATGTGACTCAACCCCAAGAGCCCAGGTCTGGTATTGTAAACCAAGGCCCCATTCACAAATTTGTCAGACCCCAAGTCCTGAACCCAGTTGGCACTAACCAGACCAGCAGCAGACCTAAATTTTCCGGCACAGTTTTGCCAAATGTGAATGCAGAGTCTGCTGCTAGAGGGGCTCCAAACCCCCTGGCTGGAATGACCAACTCTAAATCAAACAAAGAGGATGCATTCGCTGCAGACCACAGAAAGCTGAGTGTGGGGGAACCCAACGACCGCAGGCAGCAGTATCTTCCACAGCTGCAGCCCTCTTCACTGGCCGCTCGCTCCTCTTCTTCAGCTGATTCTGCACGAGGCCTGAAACTCAGGGAGCAAGTTGTAGGATCCCCAGAGCTGCCTGTGCACCACACCATCGCTTTGAGGGATGCTGGAAATGAGGCTCCCACTGCTCAGTTGCTGGTAGAATCAAAGGAGGGGCCCGTCACGCCAGTTTCCAGTCCATTACAAAATTTTACTTCCACTGCATCCAACTCAGTCCTGTCCACTGAGCCAGGCCTCAAAACGGATAATTCAACAATGAACCACACAGCTGCCACCACCGAGGAGGGTCCGGTTGTTCAAGGTAACACCACAGACAGCCCACTTTTGGGACACCAAGAGGGGAACACAACGGCTCCTGCAGGGCTGCTCCCCAACAGCAGCTCAGCTGACGAGTCGTCTGCTCAGGGGAACAGCTCAGAGACCCTCTCCACAGCCGGCGGGAACCTGCCCAACGTGCAGGTCCCAGCCACGACCAACGACCCCCAGCCAGCTGGGAACAGCTCGTGCTCCTCCGTCAGCTGCTTGCCATCCCAAGGAGACATCTGCTTGAAAAAGATGGACATCGTGTGGATCGTGCTGGCCATCAGTGTGCCTGTGTCCTGCATCTGTAAGTGAAGTTCACAAGAACTCTGTCAAAACAATATTTAAAGACGTAGTCCCAGATTTAAAAACTGTGCTTTATTGCATAAAGTCTGACATATTGTAGGAAGAAATGCAGGATCTGTTGCCGTTTCCTGTTCATACTTGCATTTTTTATTCAGTTTTAATTAAGTTTATACTGAGGCTGCTGGCTCAAGCCCAGGTTGCATCCGGCAGAAAACAATTGTCAAATATTTGTAAGTTTTCTCGCTTTAGTGACCTCTAAGCAAGAAGATGCTGGGAAAAGCAACATCAGTATAATTTAATTACTTCTAATTAACTTACCGGTACTTTTAAAAGTCATGTACCCGGTAGATCATTTGCCATCTCATACCACTGCACGGATGTGACAGTGACCTCTTAAATGACCCTCGCATGCATTTTGACAGCGGACAGAAACCCTTCAGCGTCTTGTCTTCATAACGAGAAGTTTTTACTGAGATGTTGCACCTGAGGCGAAACACAGCTCTGTTCAAAGACACGAGTTCCTTTGTTCTTGATAATCCTCCTTTATAAATTCTGTTTGTAACCTGGGTACGTTTATGGCTGTTTTAGAGTGGATTGTTCTTGTCCTTTTATCAAAACTGTGCCAGCTTCCAGCAGATCAGCTTCAAATTTGAGCTCTAACTCGTATTTTTTGCTCTCGTCCTGTAGCTGTGCTGTTGACCGTGCTCTGCATGAGGAGGAAGAAGAAATCGACGAGTCAGGAGAACAACCTCAGCTACTGGAACAACGCCATCACCATGGACTACTTCAGCAGGCACGCTGTGGAGCTTCCCCGAGAGATTCACACTCTGGAGAGCGAGGTACAAACTACTGACACACCACGACTCTGTCGCCATGCGGCGCTACGCACTCTGAAGTGGCGAGACGTTGGCTTGTTTCAGTATGAGTCAGCAGAATGCTGTTAATGAGTCTGCAAACAACGAGGAGGATCCAGGTCCGTCCTCCTCTGTCAGCAAGCCTGGAGGCCTGCTGAGGCTAACACTAGCACTGACTGCACCGCAATTTATAGATGTCCTTTGAGAAACTATTTTTTTAAATCCTGCAGAAAACAATCATTTAAATATTGAATAATTTCTTAAAGTTCACGTCCAAGTTTTATATTATTTTAATCAGTGTTTGTGTTGAAAGAATATATACAAATTTTATGTTGATTTAACATGATCTTGTGCGTGTTTAGTTTTAAAATCACACACACACACATACCCCCCCCCCACACACACATATATAATATATATATATAATGGTGGGTAAAAATGGTTAATTATTTCTATTCTGCAAAATAATTAAACTGATTTCGCAACAATAAGCTGTCCTGACCTGTCAATCATTGTCTGCTTCCACACTGAAGTATATTTAGTTTGTTTAGCATTAAATGTGTGATAAATAATATCTGGTTTAAGAAAAAAGCTGTAATTGTTTAACAAAGTGAACATATATATTTTTTTAACAGCTGACTTATTTTATTCTATGAAAACAAATCACAAAATGATAACATTTTCAAAACTGATTCATTTTATTGCCCCGGCTCATGGCTAAAACTTAACTCTTCACATATTTGTTCCTCATATTTTTATTCATGCTGTAAAATGTTTGACAAAACGTATGTCAATCCTTTTTAGCTATAGATTTTGTGTTTGTCAAATATTATTGAGCTAATGTTACATTTTACTCTGAATAAATAAAATAGCTCAACCTAAAAATGTTATTTTGATATTATAAAGAAACATTGTTAAATTGCTTGTTTCTGACCACTGAGCAGCATGATGACTGCAGTTAACTAATTAATTGCTAATTAGATATAATTGTTAGCAGATTTCTGTCTTATAACATGGTTTTAGGTCATTTTAAGAATTTAGCTGCTGATAATTTATTTTGAATAACTTGTAAGAATAAGTTTTATACACTTTATTTCCCTTTTCAATTAAATATAACAAATATAGTATGTAATTTTTTCTAACTTCCTTTTTATGTCCATTGAATCTCTCATCTCGATACATTTAAATTTTTAATGCTTTACACCGCCATCTGGTGGAAGCGAGTGAATATGACATGAGCCTGAATTAATTTTAAATCTATTCCTCTGTTTTATTGTCGCTTGTATCATCTGTTTTCTGTTCCTTGCTTCATTTCATATTGTTTTATTTGCTCACTCTGCTTCTCTTTGCTGCCTGTGAGGTTTCAGGGGAGAGACGATGAGGCTGGATCATGTATAGGATGCTCTCGGTGACTCTCAGGTCTGGTCTCTGTAGAGCAGAACCATAATGTCGCTCCCCCGATGGTGTAGGTAAATGACGGAGCTCTGTGGGAGACCCCATCAAAAATCTAAACGAGGGCGATGGTTTGATTAGATTAGACCTCGCTGCTGAAAAACAAATCATTTTGGGGGTTTTCCACACCTCCCTCCTTCCAGCACTTCATTACTGCTGACTCACCACCAGTCACCCCCTCACCTCTGCTGCTGCTTTCTTCTGAGTCATCTCTTCTTTTTGCCCACTTAGAATGATTGTTCCCTTCCTCTTTCTTCTCTTTATCTTTGTCAGATTTTATTTTTCAGCATCTAAAAAGAACCCCATGCACTGTTCCATATTTCCTCCTGCTCCCTTCCTGTCTCCTTTTAGCTTGTAGTTAGACGACTGCAGCTTATCCTAATGTTTAGGTCCGGTGTTTTTCAGACACGTGCACTGATGTCGTTTTCTGTCTTTTGATCTGTGTGTGTCTGCAGGAGCTTGAAACCTGTCTCCCCCCTAACGGAGACTACAGTGGCAGCAGCGTGGTCCTGGTCAATCCGTTCTGCCAGGAGACCCTCTTCATCAACAGAGACAAAGCCTCTGTCATATGAGACAGAACCTCCTCCTCCTCCTCCTCCTCCTCCTCCTCCTCCTCCTCCTCCTCCTGCTGCTGACGTTTTATAAATGTGTGGTAAATACTCAGAGATGCTGACTTTATACTGTGTATAACTAACACAACCTGAAAACCAAGAGCGGCGTAAAAACAGACATTTACAATGAGGATGCACCTGCATATTTTTCTGATGTACATTTTCTACAAAAGGCTTAATTGTGATAAAAGGTTTCTATTGTCTTTATATAAAATAGAGTTTATGTGGGTTTTGTTGCATTACAGTGGCTTAATAGTAATTGCACTGTGGACGTGTGGGCGCCACATGAAATCTGCTTTAGAGAGTGCTATAAACCCTTAAAGCTGTTCTTTGTATTTTTTTTTTTAATCAATCCCAAAATACAAAAAGCCTGTTGAACTTGAATATAGCACCTACTTATTTATGGCAGGGGAATCAAAGATGCGTGCAGATTATTATTATTATTATTTTTTGGTGTAAAATTGAGGGCTGTGTTTGTCAGACTTACTGGAAATATTGATTCAAAATGTCCCAAAAAATATGCCAATTTTAGCAGTTACCTGAAAATAAAGGTAGATCAAGTATTTGTCTTTTAAAGGAATAGTTCAGATTTTTTAAATTGGGGTGCTGTGACTAGATTATCTTACTTTTTGTAGATAACTCTGAACAACTTAATGGAGTTTAATTCTGACTGGATTGACGAGCTAAAGCAGGATTTAGGTAAATTCCTGCCAATATAAATTAATTTAAAGAGATATCTACAACAGGTAAGATGTTAACTGTTCATATCTACAGAATTTAACTTTAAAAGATCTGAACTACTCTACTGCTTTAAAATGAACTCTGAAATGATTCTTTGATTTGAGTGATGAGAGCAGAAACCATCAGAGACAGATTCACCTTAAATTTGACGCGTGTTTTTTGAACAGTAAATTTAATTTTGTCAAATTGGACAAATGATTTGAATATTATTCTGTAAAAATGTGAGGTTTTAGCTTTTCGACTAACAAATTTCTTTCAGTAAATTTGGATTATTCATATGAAGAATGAATATAAACAAAAAAATTATGTTTTAATAAAAATTAATGAGGTTTTTATTGAAATCAGTGCACAAAATAAATATAAAAACATGTGAATTATAATGTAAACTAAAACATAAAGTGCTGTTGAAGTTTATAAATAAACATGAAAAAAGATTCAATGACATATTATAGACAAAAGTGTTGCAACGTGATTGTAATGAAATCAAATAAATAATTAACGATACAATCAAGCTCTTTATATATATTTTTTAATTTGACAAAATAATTCTTCACAAATTATTCCAGTACTGTGGATTATTTTACCTGAATAACTGCAGAAAAAAAATTACCTGAAAAGGAGGCGTTCCATCTGATTAATTGTGGAATAAATCAGGTGCGTAACCTCATTATGATAAATGATGTTACATAAATTAAAAAGTGACGAGTAAAACTGGTAGTTTGATGAACACAGGCGCAGATTATAAAGATCGATTTGACGAGGACATCGAGGAGATGTTGAGTGAAATGTCTCTGATTTAAAAAATGTTTCCCCCCTGATTGTGTCACCAGCTTCTCTGAGGAGGGACCACTTAGATGTCTGTGTGTGTGCTTGTTTCAGATTACCTTGTAGGGACCAATTTTACAAAAAAAATCATGCATTGTGGGAACCAGCTGCTCCTTATGGGGACCAAAGCCAGGTCCCCATAAGGAGATGTCTTGTTGGGGGGTTAGGTTTAGGACTAATGTGTGAATTGTGAATGAGTTAGGGTTAGGCTACAGAAAATGAATGGAAGTCAATGCAAGGTCCCCAAAATGTACATTTATAAGAACGTGTGTGTGTCAAACGAGTGAGACCAGTGTGTCCTGAGTGCCTGACCAGTGTGATCACCCCCATTACCAAATCTCACAGAGTCAAAAAGGACTTTGTGTCCCTTCCAGCTCAGTTTGGTCTCTTTGTCGTCGTGTGTCTGCTCTTCTCTGATTGTGCGTCACTTGTCAGCGTCGTGGAGCTTCTGGTTGCGTCCCAGTGTGAGAGAGCTTCTTCCCACTGTAGGAGGCAAATGGAGCGACATCACTCCTGTAACAGTCCCGCTCAGTCAAAGTGTTTGCAGTTTGAATGGTTGTGAACTAGTCGCCCTAATGACCAATAAACACCGAGACAAATGATGTTGAATATTTACTGTGAGCACACGCAGAGGTGGTTTGATGTTACTTTATTTTTAAAGAAGATTGAATCTTTTGTTTCATTCCTGAACCTGTGGTCCTGCTATTATAATTCACTTTACATTGCTGCAGTTTAATTCAATAATCAATGCTGCCTGTCTCTGTTGCTAAAGATTTTACTGCGAGGCGTCGTCCTGATGCTGAATGATGCAGATAAACCTAATATCTCTTGCATCAGATGCTCACTGCTGGGCTTGTTGTTTTGCACGCTCAAAACATGAATATTTGACAAAATGTTCAGTGAAGCAGTGTTAAACATGATGTTATTTTTTTGTACTGTAGTATACACTGTACTTTTTACTGCTGAGCAATAAAACAAAGAGAGACAACTTGCTTGACCATGTCTGCCTTTTTTTTCTCTTTTAATAAGTGGATTTATTTAGCAGATCTGTTCCTCCAGTTACAGGTGAGTTTTCATTAAAGTTCTAATGAAGCGTGCAGGTAATGTTACACTGAATGCATCAAATGCCTTTACTGTCGTTGCGCCTGCAGTACAACGAAATTAAAATGCAAACCTCTTGTGGTACAAGCAAAACAAGTATGACTAAAAACAAGTGTCAATAAAAATAAAACACAATCAAGGACATTAATAAAATGATAAAACGGCAGTCAATAATATATGTCAATTAAAAAACAAGCACTAAATAACTTGTAAATTAAAAAACAGCAATGCAGTGTGCTAATGTGGTCAGAACTGACTATGAGTTCAAATCTCTGATGACACTAGAGCAGTGGTTCTCAAACTGTGGTCCCTGGACCCCCGGGGGTCCGTGGACCAGTGCTTGGGGTTCTCCCGTCCAAAAAAATTATTATATGCTGTAGTCCCTCGCTACTTCACGGTTCGTTTATCGTGGACTCGCTCTATCGCG